TGGTACACTCAAGGGTGCTCTGACCTCCAGACTTGTGAGCGTGCTGTCAGACAGCACTGCAATAATGAGCTGTGTTGTCAACATTTCTTCTGAAAATCTCAGATGCCATTTTGTCCTTGTCCATCAGGTCTACAGGCAGCTGACTAAAATGCTGTAGGCTTCAGGGTGGTTTTGTACGTATGTAAGGTTATACTGCCTGCAACTATAAAGACCAGACATAGAAGAGGAGATAGTGTGGAGTTTTTGTTTTACAGCAGAAAGTGTAATTTCTAAATCTGACGGAGCTCCTATTGAATTATATATAGGCTAAGTATATTTATACTATACTTACAGATAATAAAAGAATCTTAGGTTTAATACAAATAGAGATAATACAGGTTTTTTTTTAGTTTTTGGTGATTGTCACATGTGTACTCTGAATTCAACACAAAGAATTTATTAGAATTAGAATTTACACATACAAATTACAGTCCCCCTCCACTCAAAAATATGTTTATCTTCTTGCTCCTACCGTTGGAAGTTAGAGCTTCACTGTGCATAATGATGTCTGTGCAGAGTTTGACACTAGAAGAATGTTTGAAGATTCATCTGCAAAAAGTGGAAAGTTTCTCTGTGCTCACTGGAAATCGGATTTTAAGGGGCAGGCCTACAATCATGACTTGTGACATCACACATAGTTTAGAAGTCTATCCCGGTTCAGTATGCAACTTATACAAGTGTGATGAAACTTGAATCCATCAGTGCCCATACACCGAGGGTCGACTCCTACTTGTATTTTACGGCAAGTAAAATACAAGTAGGAGGTATCTTGTGTCCAGCAGGAAAACCTTGTATATTGATTTGAAGAAGAAGATCCATTTTTAAAGAGCAATAAACTGAATTATATGACTGTACTATGATAAAAAACATAAATGCTGGTGTTACAACTGACATTATTACCAAAATTATGAAAATGCCTCAACACGCCCTCTATTTTTTTCATCATGAGCCGTCTAAATCCAGTGTTAACCGTTTGGGGGCCTCTACGTCATGGCGATTATAATCAGAGGAGGGCACCCCACCTCCCCCAGCCTTAGCTTTATGTGGGAGTCTGTGGAACCGCTACACTCATTTTCTAACGTACACTTATCGTGATACATCAGTCACAGGGATTTATGGTGGTTTTTGCTGACACTCTACTTAGTTTTTTCCTATGTTGTCGCAGTGGTCCGGACTTTAAACGGCTGCAGAAGCACCAACAGACTGCAATGTTAACCTGATGCCATGCACTGACAGCCCCCCACACACATATACCGGACAGTGGGTCTCTCTAAGCTGTCACAGCCGCTAGCAACAACTTTTACAAAGTTCTGTGAAAGGTTGAGTAACTGTAAAAGCTCCAGCGGACTCTCTTTGTGTCCAGTGCAGACATGGAGAGTCTGACATGGCTGGTTAACTCGGTCTACCAGCTCGCTGGTCCTGCTAAACTGCTGTGATCAGTCTGTCAATCACTCCGGTCTGTGTTGAGGCCATGCCCCCAGAATTGCTGGGTGTAGTTACACTTAAATTTTAAATTTTAATGTGGAAATTTTTTTTGCAGTAAAAATATATTAGACACACATTATTGTTCTAGGCAGACTATTTGTATGTGTTTTAATACATGTCTGAAGGGGCTCTTTAAGCAAAATTGTTCTATTATATTCTATTATTCTATTCTCTACTGCCATCAGGTCAGCGTTCCCGATGCCTGAGGACAAAGACTGAGAGGCTGAAGAAGAGTTTCTATCCACATGCCATCCGCCTGCTCAACTCTGAGCCTTAACCGGACTTAAAAAAAAAAAAAACTGTACTTTACTCGTAACATAGCTGCTTTCAATACTGTAAATGTGTGTGTATATATACAAGCTACCCCCCTCTAAGTTTTACACTTGGAGTCTACAGTCTATATTTTATATGTTATATTACAGTCTATATTTTATATGTTATCTTACAGTCTATATTTTATTTTATTTTCTTCTTAGTTTTATATTTACACCTATATTGTTTACCTTTTGTGTTATATGCAATCACTACTGCTTTACTGTAGTAGTATTTTGTTTTTCTTTACTACTGGCTGCAGGTACAAAGAATGCATTTCACTGTTCATTGTACTATGTATAACTGTGCATGTGACAAATAAAACCTCTTATCTCTTATCTTAACTCATCTTATTGCCATTGCTTGTCTATCATTAGGTATTTAGCTGAAAAAAATGTATAGCTTAAAGCTGCAGAAGTCAAAACCTGTGCAAGCTTTTTATTCAGCACATATGGAAAAATCTCTCTGGCTCTCTCCCTAATGTAACTGTTAAAAGCCGCTCTCTAACATGCAAAAAGCCATTGTATGCTTCCTTTACAGTATGAAACAAAGAAGAACCAAAGGAAACATGTGGCCAATGAGGTGAGTTCCAGCTAAAGCGATTCATATATATTTCTTAGGAGCTTTGTGACAAAACCAGGATTAAAAGGCTGTTAATAGATTTGTTTCAAACAGATGGTCAGAAAGAGACTCAATGGCACACTCATGTATTGGATGTGTAAGTGCTGTTTTTTTACCTAGTTACCTAACAAGCTAAAGGACGGTTGGTTTAAATTTGTTTTTGAGCCTTTCTACCTCTAAAAGGACTTAATCTATAATAACCCATAGAAATCTGTAATTCTATTCAGGTGTGTTCCCTCTCAATTGCATCATATCTCCTTAGCGCATGCATCAACATTGGGGTTGTCTCCTAGAAGCTGTCATAAATTCATTTTTAAATCTTGGTTGTTTTTAACGATATATATTTTAACTGGAGGAAAGGAACAACAGAAACACACATTTTTAAGATGAAACTACTTTATTAAGTGTTTTTATTGGTTTTAATGAATGGGTCCATTTATTTTTTATTTTTTGGAGAGGAGGAGATCTCTGCAGATAATTCGGCTCTTGGTAAATCCTCTGGAATGTCTGGATCTTAAAGTCCAGGTGAAACAGAAACAGGAGTTTTTTGCAGGAACCAATAGTGCTGTGTGTTATGTCCCCCCCAGTCTAGCAGCTATGGCAGTCCTATTAGCTGACTCTGCCGGGACTGGAATCTCTCTATGAAAAGCGTGTCCAATCCAACAGTGTATGAACTATACCTTGGCTTTCGGGGGAACTCCCTTTTTCCTATTGGGGTTAATTGATTGATTATGATGAATGATTGGATTTTGATTTAAAAATACAAGAAATCTGATTTTTTGTAACATTTTTGGCATTGCCACTGTGAAATATGGGTGCAATAAAACTGAGGATGCAATCTTAAAGGGTTAAAATGACATTTTTCATTTCACCTTGATTTAAAGTTATCAGAGGAAAGAGCTGAGCTGACGTTAGCAGCAGCTCGACTGGCAGGACCTTGTCTTCCGTCTTCCTCTGCGTGGCGAACAGCGGCGAAGAAGCTTCTTTGTGAGAAATAGAAAGAATGAAAAGATTTATACCTCATATCTGTCAACTACTATACCATAGGGCTAGGAGATGTCAGTTCCCCTAGCCAAGAAACGGTTCCAGCAAGTAACTCCCATAAGACCAAGTTGTTATAATTATTTAACGACTATATAAACAAGATGCATCAGGTTATTTAGTGAGCTTTAGAAGTGTTGATAGGCCCTTTATTGCAACTTGGACAGGGCCAGACTAGCCATTTTCCTCTGCTTTCAGTCTTTATGCCAAGCTAAGCTAATCCTCAAGCTCTTGTTTCATACTCAACAGACAAACATGAGAATGTTTCTCAGCATGAAAGTTTCCCAAAATAAATATTCCTTTAAAGCTGTTGGTGTTTCCTCATTCTAACTCATTAAACCAATGACTTGCAGTATTCAGTTGTTGTGAGCAGATAAGGATCCGTTCCTTTTAGCCGGATAGCAGATTAAACGTGTGTTGGCATCATTAATTATTGCATCTATCTTGGGTAATACTGACTAATCATTAATTACTAAAAATAAACTCATATGGAGGCAGACATGGACAGTTAATATTGGGATTTATTTTAGTTACCCGCAAGTTACAGCGTGCCAGTCGGTAAAGGCTTCCATGTTCCCATATATCACTTAAAGCACACCACAGAGGTTTTGATTGGTGCCATTTAGCCCCTTTCACTGACTGAATTCTTCAAGGGGTTGGCAAGTGGGTGGGCACAGATTGGCTGTGACATTACCACAGATGGGATCCTGCGGCGCATGACGTTTTGATGGAGGAATGATTGAAGCATATGAGAGAGCCGATCATCAGAATGTAAACATCAATTACCAGTTGGGTGCATAAGCACACGTGGCAAGGGGTTCTAGCTGCTCGTGCAATGTGCGGATGCTAGAAATCATATTATTTATGATCTTTCACTGACCTCAGGACTTGTTGTAAAAGAAACAATTTCTATTTTTGCAGTAGCTGTGTGCTATTAACTAGCTGGAAACACTTTATAGATAGTGTGGGCAGGACACAGACTATGGTTACATCTAAAAATTACAAATTAGGCACTGTATATTGGTATTTCTTGGTAGGTATTTTTTAATGTCACATCACTTGCATTCTGTGCAACATTTGTTCAACTGCAAGTGCTCTACAAAACATGTAATATTCTTATCAATTACATTTCATATAGATAGGATGAAGTAAATAAATGCTACAACTTGGTCAAGAAATGAATGAAAAGTAACACTAAAACAAAACCTCTACTAATAAATAGAAATAAAGATACTATCATATGGTTCTCTTGCACCACCTATTGGCGGATTGTCAAAAATACACATCACATGCAGTATTTACGCTCTACCTCCTGCCTTAATGTAGAAAATAAATTGCTGACTGAATAACTTAAACTAAAATTTAAATTTAAACCTCTCCTTTGAGGACCTCTTCCTGGTTCTGGAGTGATTTATACATGGCTTTATGACTACTATCCTACTACAGTGCTACTTCAGTGACTACTACTGCTACTAATAATGATAACAATCACCAACCAGTGGGACTTTTTGGTAAAATTTATTTTGCAAGTGTTTAGGTGATACATGTTTCCAAGGGATTGTCTTAACAATGATGTCTTCCACCCCCCCACCCCCAACAACCAGGAGAGTAAATGAAAAGAAATTTTAAATTTTAAGTTTTTACTTTTCACACAAACTGTACAATATATGAATATACTGTAGCACAAGGGATACAAATGTTCAACTTGAGTACCCTTGGTTAGACCCATACATATTCCAACAAGTGTCAGAAACAGACTATTTGTCTTTAACTTCGTACTCGTACACTGTGGTTTTATCAAAGACGTATCATCTCTAAAATCAAATTCAGAGATTTTTAACAAACGTACAGTGTTTATTTGTTCTCTTTTCCCTTAAAAAGACCTTCTCATGTGCTTCAATTCTCTAACCCTGAACACATCAACACTGTCATCAGCGGGAGCTGCTCTGGAGGAGCCAGCTTCAGGAGAGATATACATATCATGCTCCAAGACATATGAAGGCATTTCATACAATCAAATATATGGATTAAAAACAGTCAGTTAAACCGGTGTTTTACAGAATATTTGCAGAAGCAATCACAGGGACTAAGGCAGATAAAATGGAAATTATTGTAAAAGACTAGCTAAATTAAAAGAACAGCACTATGTGCAGCAAGACGTGTTTGAATGGCATGAGTCATCTAAAAGAAAAAGCATCGGATCAATGCTTTTTCTTTTAAGTCAGTAATAAGTACCTCTCTTTGAGTGGTCTTTTCCGTTTTATTTTCGAAGACCTTTCTTTTGCTTATAAAATGAAGAAACCAATGAAAAGAGATGTGGCAGAGAATAGACATGAACCAGAATACAAAAAAATGGAGGGCCCTTGAGTTCAGCCTTCATCTTTTGTGGTATTTTCCTCTAGATCCTCATCACTGTCTAAATCACTGTGGAGCCTCTTGGGCATGGTATTTCTGCTTCTCTCATCCTCATTCCCCTTCTTTAGCTGGACTGGTAATGGTTTCACTAGTTGCAAAATGAGAAAACGTAATGCAAAAACATTAATTTCAAATGCTCCAGTAATCCAAAGTTAAGTAATTAAATGCAAGGACAACTAGCAAACAATGATTGTATAGATTATTATTTGTAACCAGAATGTGTGTCCTCATCTCTTTTTTTTGCTTTCATTTGGTCACCGGCAAAAATAACCCTCCTGATTGTTTGTGTTTTAAGTCTCACCTGCTGATGGGACAAATTGGTCTTCAGCTCCGCCGCCATTATCGCTGTGACTGGCGCTAACCGTCTCTTTCTGTTCCTCGTCTGTGACGATTCTCTGTCTCGCACTCTCGAAAACAGACTTAATGACAATTGAATCCTCATAGATCTGAAGTTGTAAACAAAGACACATGCGACACACACACACACACACACACACACACACAACCCATACAGATAAACAGAGCATGACTACAATAATAGAGACAGTGGAAAAAACAATTTAGTTGCTTTCAAATGAAATAAATCCTTGGGGTTCACCTGAGATCCCTCCAGGTTATAAGTCTGAGCATTGTGACACAGGAGGAAAATATCCTTTTCCAAATCCCCCACACTTCTGTACTTGTGATTACGCACACGTTCCTGTGAAGCAGAGGGTCAGTATCAAAACAACAATCAGCTTTATCATAAAAGCCTTTAATAAGTAATAGTCCAAGAAAGGAAAAAACAGAAACACAGATGAAGTTATACACAATTACGCTGTCTCTCATCTTTAAAAAACAGTGAAGCATTTTATGCTTATATGCTTTCTTTGTCGAGCATTAGAGGATCAGTACTGCTCTCAGGTCTGTTTGTTAATATTTAGTGGACACCAGGAGGTTAGCTTAGCATAAAGACTCAAAACAGAGGGCAACGGCTAGCCTGGCTCTGTCCAACGTCGTCCTACCAGCACCTCTAAAGCTCACTAATGAACGCATTATTCGTCTTGTTTGTTTAATCCATACAAATGCTGAAGTTATAGGTTTATTTCTTGGCCAGGCCCAGGGACTTCCTGGAGTCTCCACTGGTTGCCTGGCAACCTTACGGAGCTGACGAGACTCCAGGATGGCTAGCTGTTTCTCCCTACTGCTGGACTGCTAATCACCTGCCCATTCCTGGTTAATGCACAGACATGACAGTGGCATCAATCTTCTTATCTAACGCTCAGCCAGAAAGCAAATAAGCGTAATTCTATAAGTCAAGACTCCACTCATGTAAGATTTTTCTCAACAATTCCACTTCTGATTTCATGACTAATGTGAAATCTGACACGTTCAATTCCACATTTTGACAGTAGGTGTCACTTTGGGCTGATGAGTATATGGTTAGAGGAATAATCATTTAGAGAAGGACATGTCTGTCTTTGTATTTTTCTTACTGTCAACAAATTCTGAATGAAAAGACCCAACCAAACTTTAGATTCTGAAGTTTGCAACTTTTTAAAAGTTTAGAAAACATTTTTTTTAGTAACAAAATGTTGAAGAGGCAACTGCCTCAGTGTTCTGTGGGCATAAATATTTCACTGGTTTCGGGTAATTTGATAAAAAAACATTTTCTTTGCTATCTTTTAAACCCTTTGTTTAAGAGTCCCAGTCTTACAACCCACATTTTCTGAAGCTAACAAGCTTGTTAAATGAAGCCGTACCTGTGTTTGTGCCATAGTTTTCAGTTCCAAATACAAGTAGCTACGAACTAAAGATGTATCAAGTACTACAATTCAGTTTATCTACTTTAACTGTTTTCTATTAGTTTTCTTTTGTCACCATGTAAAATGTCTTTGAGTACCTTTTAAAGCGCTATATAAAATAAATGTATTATTAGTTGATAGCCTGATATTCATGTCAGGTTTTAGGATTTTTGGAGTAAATCCCATTCATGGTGCCATTCAAATGTGTTGACTAGTTAGCTGTTGTTGATAGCAATTTTTGGTTTGTGTGTGTCATACATTATATTCTGTCAAGAAATGAAGATACAGTCTTCTTTTGCAGTTATGCTAATAGAATATATAGAATATAAAATATATAAAAATATATGTAGGTTCTGCAGATTAATGTAAAATAAGAAATAGCACATGTGCAATTGGTTACAGCTTCGGAGCTAGTCTTCAACCTTTTTGCCAGTGCTTCCTGGCCTTAGGAAGTCTAAGTATATTGTATAGAAGTGTAGTACGCATTAGATATATAGTATTATTCTATATATATTTAAAATGTAATGTAGGGCTGCAGAAAATCTTATTGTAATTACTTTTATGGATATTACGATTGCAATATGATTCACGATTAGTGAGGAAATTATCGTTTTTGCATCACAACACATGTTTTTGGTGTTTATATTTAAACTGTAATACTCAGAAGATAATTCAAAGTGGATAATTCAAAGAAATAAGATCTGATATATGAAAATACACACTGCAGGCCTACCTAAGCATTATTTACATCATTTCTCAGTGAGTACTTACCAAGAGTTGTTTTGATATTTAATACTGACACTTTTCTTTTTATGTATTATGTATCTGTTGGAGTTTCATCTCCATTTATTTGAATTTCTTTCAGCAGATAACAATACTATATGTGAGTTCTGAGGGTGTTCAGCGACACATACTCTGATCCTTCTGAAGTCCACAGGCTTTCGGATCAGCTCGTAGTACTCTGGTACCTCCTTCTTAGAGGGAAGCTGTACAAAGCCTTTACTGATCTGTCGACCCAACCTGGAAGCACAATGTGATATCACATAATCTCACTTGATCAAGAAACAGGCTTGACATTTATGGAAGCCCAGAATAGCCATGGTGACTAATATCTTGGAGTGTCAAATAAAAGTTATATATATGATTCAATCACATTGTTATCTGCAATTATCAAATATTGTTTTTCAACAGTCACCACTTAAATATGTTCTTTTCTCTAAATGAGAAAGTTGCCACAATCCCAACTTGATTGCTACACTGATATTGCATAGCCTGACAGAAATGATACAGACAACAAAAATATGTCTTCATCATTTAAGAAAAGACTCATATTGTTTCGTTGGAGTAAAGAAACACTACTGAAATGTGTGCCTTTCAGCTCTATCCAATTATAAGTGGTACGAGAAATTATGCTTAAACTACAGCAAAACTGCAATGTGAAGATTTACAATTAATAATCAGCTATCAATAAAGCATTTAATAAGCAGTAGTACAAGAGAGGGTATTAGTGAAACAAGTAAGTGAAATGATGCTTGAACACAAAGACAGAAGTTGTTGTGGATGTGTGTTACTTATTTCAGTCAGCTAATGCAAAACTTGAAAGATGCGACCGCAACAGAAATGTTTTTCTGATCTCTATTACTGGATTTATGCAGTTCATTTTGATGGTTTGAAATGCCTCCTCTGTTCTGAACAGTCTTTATTCGCATTGCTAACAACCCCAACAAATATACTGTCCATGAACAGAACGTGAGGCGAATGTTAGAGGTGGTGTGGCTGCATACAAAGTAAATGGAAAGGGCAAACAAAGTCAAAGGGAGCGGTGCGAATAATGCAAAGACGCGTCCACTTGAGTTGAAAATGTTTCCTTTTCAAAATATTTCATTTTCAGTTTGAACAAAAAAATGTGCATGTATCTTCATAAGTACACTAAGACAAGCTGAGTAACGCGAGACTGGAGGGAAACTGCAGAAAGAACTGGAGATTCTGATGAGATCAATCAGAGGTTGATCTGAACACAAAAATACGTAGACGCACTCCCGAACACACAGTTAGTGCATCTCTTGCTAGCTTACAGCTAAAGTCTGTAGCACGGCTTTAGACTCTTAGTCTTATTACAAAATTTGTTTAAAAAATATTAATATTGGACATTTTGAGATAACTATAAAATGAACTTCTTGGGGTTAAAGGGCTTTAAAATAAACATGATACAACTGTACTTTATTAACAGTATTGTAGTATAATGAAGCAATGGATTCATGTTCATAAGGAGTAGTTTGATATCTTCACTGAAGTCATTATGTCGTGATTTGTGTTAATAAGTGGCCCAAACAATTAGTAACGAGCGATCTTTGCTTCCATACATCACTGTTTAAAGATTTCTGTCAAAGTAAAACATGCATTTGGACTAACAATCACTTATAGTTGCAGCACACTTTCATGACACAGTCCACAAAAGATTGAGTGTCCTCACCCGTCCTTGTAGTTGATAACCATATCAACCAGCGTGCTCAGTATTCTGGTGAGTTCAGGTGGGTTTGGAGGCAGTTTCTCGGCTGGTGGGCGTCCTCGCTTCCTTTTGACCTTTTCGCCAGTTTCCTGCCCGGTCTGCACTTCTTTCTCTCCATGATGATCGCTTTTACGTTTCTTGAGACTGATGTCCTCTTCCATCTCCTCCAGGGAACCGTTCTCTGTGGCCTCAGGCTGCAGGAAGAGGGAGCGATGAGTTGGGACATTTAATAAACTCTAACTAACTTATCGGTGTAGAGGAAGGTGAATGAAACATTGTAGGATAAAATCATGTATATATTGTGCACACAAAGCCTGTCAGGTTCTCCTTTTGTTGGTCAGTTCATACCTCAGCATGACAAGGACAACAACAACTGGGGAAAGGGAGGAAAGAAGGAGAGCTGTGATGGATTTCAATAAAAAAAACCTCTTCCATTTCCATTCATTTGAACTCTTCCTCTGACTTTCATGTGACAGTTGGGATGCTCAGAAACTACTGTATATGTTTTCAAACACTCATTTGCCACAAAGACAGAAACCTGAAGCACTTCAGACAAGCTACAGAGTCTAAAACCCTCAAATTCAGGCACTTGCAGTCTCCAGCTAATTAGCGGTACTGGCTGCAGTTTAAGCATTCTGAATTACAGTGGGTATGGTTTTGTATTAAAATGAAAGAGGGTTTATTTATTTATTATAACAGCATCTGAATTTGCATGGACTGGAGCGACCCAACTGCTGTGCTGTCTCTGCAAATTTAGGACAGATTATTTTATCTGGAGGCTTTGATGTCAGATGATTATCAAGGGGAGGCAGATTTTTCTTTTTAAATGCACAATGAATGGAAATGCATGTGAAGAAGCCATGTTATACCCGAGCACAGAGTCTAAAAATGCTAATAATACAATAAATATTAACCCCTATTCCCCTGGTTCATGCACAAAAATGAGACAGAAACATGATTTTAGATGTATGCTGTTCGACAGGGATGGATGTTGCATCCTCAGTTATTTTCAACCATCGCTCCCTTTCGGTTTATCTGCTGCAACCACTGTATTTTTCACAAAGGCAATTAGAGGCCAGAAACATGAGTATGCATGCAGCAGGAGCAGCTCCAGCAGTAACAGCAGCTCGGCTGAGGAGAAGAGGGAGGAAATAGGAAAGGCATGCTGTCCAATCCCAACAGAATATTGATGCATCAATCATACAGGCTCACACAGTACACTCACAAGCATCCAATTCACATAACAGAGCATGCGCTTGTGGATGTATTTCTCAAGGACAGAGATGAAAGCACGCTGGAATATTGTACTTTGCACACACACACACACTTGAGGAACAGGAACAAGAACCATGCAGAATTATTATTGCAAAACAACAATAACAATTGTAAAATGTACAGTTTAAAAAAAAAAAAAAAAAAAAAAAAGGAACCCAAACGCATGCCTGCACTCCCGAACATGGCAGATAATTGAGTTAGAGGAGGACAGCAACACTAGAGAGGTAACAATAGAAATCCTGCTCATCATCGCTCGGCTCAAATGTAGGCTTTGAAAGCCCCGCTACTCTCTCTGAGGGGGCTGCAATCGTTCCAGCGGAATACTGGAGGGATAGAGGGTAATCCTCAAAGATGTACAACGCAGCTGAGAGCCGCCTGATTGACTGTGCGTGTGTGTGTGAGCGGAAGGGTGTCAGTGTGTGCATGTGATGCTCCATGCCTGTGCTATCTCCTAACAAGCCTGCCTCTTCCCTGACTAATCTGGCAAAGATTCCCTCTCATCTGTTACAACACACACACCTACACACTCCCTCACTCCCCTGCTCTCACTCTCGCACACACACACACACACACACACACACACACACAGAGACAGACACGAATAAACTCACAGACACTCGCTCTCTTTCCCTGGCGCGCCACACACACACACACACACACACACACACATTGACTGGCACACACATTTTATCCATCTCTTCCTCTCTTCCCATGCGATGTAGCCTGGCTGAATCCTGAGCCTGAGAAGAAAGACATGGAGGAGGATATTTACCTGACTGCAATCTGCAGGCTGGCTATCAGGATCGGCTGCAGCTGTGGGGGAGAGAATTAGCAAGCCAGCATAGCGGCGAGCTGCTAGTCTCTTCATCAGCTGATCACTCAGAAGCAGAGCCCAGAAGGGGGGAGAATAAAAGCGCTATGTTTTCATATACAAATCAATGGGCTGGGGGAAAATAGAAATGCCATACCCATCTCCTGTCTGCAGCTCTCCGAAGTCTTTTTCCTGACTCTGGAAGGCCCCGAGCTTGTCTCCCTCTGCATGTTTTTAATATCGACTGCTGCCAGACGTTTTTTTCCCCTCTTCCTACCCTGCTGTTAAAGTTATCGGGTCCATTTTTTATTTTTTATTATTTAAATTTTGCATTGCATTTCAGAGGGGAACGTGCCGTTTCATGTCAACTAAAATGCAGTGGTCTTAGGAACATGAATCCAGCCTGCAGCAATACAGGACATGCATGGTTCATATGGTGTGTGGGCACATTGGTGTCAGCGCGCAATCGCCACGGGGAACGGAGGGTCACGTCCACTCTAATATGTGAAATATGGAAATATGCCCACCTCCCCCCTCCCCTTCCCCAATATTTGTAATGACAAGACACGTCGTCAGATCCCCCCCTACAAAAGCTGGGAGAAAAGCTATTCTTTCCCCTTCAAATTGCTGTGTTAAACCCCACTCCAAGACGCACTGGATGCTTATGGCGGTCACTGAACTCCTCCTGCTCCATGTTGGTGTTCACGTCAACCAGCAACAGTGAACACAACAGCTGTTGCGCGGGCTCAGGATGCTGCCAAAGTTTTTTTGGTCGTTCTGTAATCTCCCCAGCGCGCCACGCAGAGGTTTCTTTGAAACAGCTCACTCGCAGGTAAAACACACTAAGCGTGAGTGCAACCATCTCTGGAACACATGTCAGACACACACCACCATTGAGCTGCTGGTTAGAAGGCACACAGGGCACACTCTGAAACGTGTTTGTGCAACAGGAGCGCATTGTCTGTGGCGCATGGTCCTAATTGCCGACATGTAACTGATGGTCAGGGAGGTGAGACGCAGCGTTTGTTCGGTTTTACAAAGCGAACCCTCCTGCGGACTTTGTGCCAGGCGTGTGCGCCTTTGGATAGAAAAGAGGAGCCAGACTGAGCGGCGAGATAATTGGCTACTTAATGTCTCTACATTAAGGCGACCTGCTGATTCTGGTGTGGCAGAGATCGAATGAGTACAGACACAGCTCGGTATTGATTATTAGTGCTTTATTTAACTTGGTGATGGATGTTCCTTACAGAAACCTTTAAATAATATAAGTTAAACCCCGCCCCCGTTAAGGTCTGGCTCAAGATTTCGCCCTTTGAGTGCAGCCCCAGAATTCCAGCAGGGTGATTAATGCATTAATATCGACTCAGATTACACTTTAGGTTTCTGTGCCAAGACAGCGAGGAAAAAAATAACTGCAACACTGAGCTGTAACAATCGCAACAGTGGACTTTCTCTAGTTTGGGCTGATATGCAAGCACATCTGGTTTCTGTGACTCAGTTCTGTGTCCCCCCGCCCCAACATGTGCAAAAGGTTGCTGGGAAACAGCTCACAATGTCACAACTCACAACACAGGAAATGAAGGAAACACAGGGAAGAAGTAAAAGATCCTGTTGCATTCTCCTAAATAAGGTCAAACTTATAATGACACTTGTGTGGCTTGGGACTGGAATTCAGTGGAACCAGAGAAATCATGATGCACACGAGCTGAACAGGCAGTCCACAGCAGTGCTTTCATGCCACGCAGTTAAGTAGATCTTTTAGCAGCTGGCCAAGGCCATTTATCATGCTTAACTTTTCCAGAGTATAGTTCTTACTCATATAACCATACAGGACGTTATGCCAAGCCGGCTTTGAGCAAACAGTTTAAATATAATTGTATTAAAAACATTTAAGTTTCTTTATTAAAGCCCTTGGCTGGTTTCCAATCTTAGGAATGAAGATTGTTATTTAGGAATGAATAAGCAACAAAGTTAAAGTTTGGAGAGGGAAAATAAGATCTGATCACTTTTGATTGACCGTGCCCTGGCAACATGAGCAAACCAGCTCACAACTATCAGTCAAATGTATTTGAAATCAGGGTGATATGTGAATTCACCTTTTTCCCACTGAGCCCCGCCCATTTCAAACGGTGGAGAGGACCACTGATAAAACCATACACAGACATCTCTAGTGTGAAATCAAACCAAAACTGCTTCGGAAGAAAATATTGTATTCATGTAACAGGACAACAACAACCGTAGTAATGCTGCATGAAAAAAAAACAACTCAATGTTTTCAGGGCCTTTAAGTAACTCCAGCAATACATCTTAAAGTGACCGCTTGCTACAAACGAATAAGTTCCACACTTACTCACAGCCCTCTCTTATGTGATGTTTACAAAATGCCAAAACTTCATTTACCAGTTTATGACAACTAAAATGATGAGGTTTTAATATCAACATGGTTTCCTCAACATCTTGTTTGATGTATACTGTAATGCATTGTTATATCAATGTGTAATTTACTATACATGTGTGGGGGTTTTAAAGCAGGGTATCAGTACAGTAGAATTTACTGGAATTTAATTACTAGACCATTCTGTATTTTTTTGTCTAATATGTAAGATGGTTCAAAGTCTAACTGGAATCACATTTAGTCATCTCTTTTTGCAGTGTTAATATGTTTTTGGTCTGGGCAAATATCAGAATCACCTCTTTCCCCCTGATTGACAGCAGGTGGCAGGCTCAGTCCCAGCAGGGGAAGAGGGACAAAGTACACAAACTTCCACTGTAACCTGCAAGCCATGGGCAGACAGAATGTTGTTAGCAGTTGTATTAAAGGACCAGTGTGTAAGATTTAGTGGCATCTAGTGGTGTAGTTGCAGGTAGCAATTCCCTTACTTCACCCAATTCTTATTTTCAGGTGATTATACACTAATGCAAACATAGTTATGCATATTATTATTCCATTTCTGCCAGTCCTCCTAATTGTTACACACCGGACCTTTAAAGATGATCTGAGTGGACCGAAGTGCAAGGTACTGCAGCTGACAAGCTTATTAGCTATTCAGTCTGCAAACAGACGTTGGCAATGCACTTCCACCTACGTAGATGGAAAACATTTAACAGCACTGTGGTGAATTAATGCAAAGATAAAGGGTCTTTGATTTTTTTTCTCATAGGCAGCATGTGATATACAAAAGCAGATGTGTATGCTGTAGCAGACAAAAAAGATGCACCTTAACATGAGTTGGAATTTAAGGTGATAGGAGGATGCATTGTGTCCTGGATGTACAGTTATAAGAGGCACATGTTGCGGAGCAGAGGAATTAGAATGATATGTAACTGCGGGAACCCTTACATGTACACAAAGACAGAGCACACCACTTGCAGGCTTGAAATAATAAATCATTAGCCAGCATATTAATCAATAGCCTGGAGATGTCAAGAGCACTGTGACGCCCCTCCCACTGTATTGGAGGCTGTTCTGGCTAACATCACTGGGCAATTGGCTGTTGTTGGCTGTTTTAGCTCAGGTCCTGTCTATAAATGCCAGCCCATGTCTCACTGCTAACATTGCTGACGTCCACACCTCATTGTTTATTTGTGTTAACTGTAGTTTAATAAATGAACTACTCGTTTTAAGTAAATCTGATGAGTGGACTCGCTGCTTGTCACATTCCCTGAGCCAGGTTGTGACAAGCATGCAACAAATTGTACTGTAAACAGGCATGCCAGTTTCATATGCCAGTTATTATCGTTTTAAAAAATGAAAAAAGGATTCAAGCCCTCGTTATTGTTTTGCTTTTGAAAATGGCTTATATGAAAATCTATTCTGGTAAATAATAAGGCGCAGTGAAGTTTCTACTCAAAGAGCATGTTGATGTGAAATGACTGCATTAAGTAACCCAGATGAAATAAAGATATCATTTCAGTGTTATGTTCCCATGAACCACTTGCTCAAAACTGCCGACTGTTACCATGGCAACTGCAAATTGTGATGGTGGACCTTGTATATCATTGTATTTTATTGCTGTTGCTGGGAAATGACTGAGAGTGCTATCAGTCACACATGCACAAGCTCTCAGTAATGGGACACACTGACGTTCTGTGAAGAATGACAACATCATTTTATACATCTACCTTGTCTTTCCGTGGAAGCTTTCCATTTTCTACACCCAGGCACCGCTTTTAAAACCTTTGCAAATAGGCAAAATGTAAATCATCTGGTAGATGAAGAAAACAAAAGCACAGGGATTGACCGGGTCACTGCATGTTTCACTAATGTCAAAATTATCTTTAAATCTTTTGCAAATAATTAAAAACTGATAGTGAGAAAATTAACATTTCACACTGTGATTTCTT